TCATCGTCGCTTCCACTTACATCTGACAGTAATAAACTGTCGCTATCGCTTTCCTCGTTGAAATTGACTATAACTGGCTCTATGATGGTGTCGATGTGGTGGTCAAGCTGCCACATTTTTGTTTCTTCCTTCACAACATGACGGATAGCATCCTGCCAAGCTTCGGGCGTTACTAGCTGTATGGAAGTCTCAAGTAAAACCTTAATGTCTGGTAATTTGAAGGTTGTGTTATGGCGCGCAATATAACCCTTCACTTGAGCCCAGATGAGCTCTATTGGGTTCAGTTCACAGTGGTAGGGCGGTAACCGCAGTACAGTGACACCACATTGACGTAACTAATGCTCGCAGGTTTGTGCTGTTTAATTTTTTCATACAATTCCGCTTTCACACATGAATCGTCAAACGGGATTCCTTTTTCGCGCAACCATTGCTGCATGTCACTTTTTCGAGATCCCATAGTCGGTACACGTTCGGCTCGACGACAATGGTAGGAAGCATTATCCATGACGATCACAGAGTTGGGCTCAACTCGCTGAAGCACCCCTTGAAACCAGCTCTCGAAGCAGCTGGCATTCATTTCGTCATGGTAATCACCTCCTTTCTTAGAGACGAAAATCAAGTCACACTCTTCTAAAAAGCCACTATCGCTACCAATATGAGTTACGATCAATCTTTGACCTTTCCCTGACGGTCCACGAAGACCTGTTGACAAACCTTCAATGCTTGTTTGTCGGTTACTCACTACTTTTTTGTCTATCCAGGTTTTTTTAACTGTGTGACCTGCATTTACCGATGTCTCGTCCAAATAATAAATTTTTCTGCTTTGTCGACTATATTCAATCATTTTGCGTATGTATTTTCGACGCCAGGCGACTATTTCAGGTCTCTCTATCAATACTGACTTCCGATTACGCGTTTCGTAACGAAAATTAATTTCGTGCAGGGATTTCCTCATTACCTCGACGCTCATTTGGGGTATAACTTCATTTTCCTTGATCGCTGCGTGTACAGCCTTGAGGGTTGGTATCTCATTCCTAAAGAAGAATGAATGTACGGTTCGCCTTAACGCCATTTTGCTATCGTCATCCAATTTAACGGCCTTTCGTCCCTTCAAATTAAACTTTGGATCAGTAGTAGCTCCAGTTTTCTTCTTCTCATGCACCACCCTGAGAATGGTCCACTCTGGAACGCCTGTCATACTTTCACAACGCGCGAGTGCATCTCCCTGCGACATAGTTCTGTTCAGATAATTGAACACGTTGAGCACGATTTCTTTCGCGTCCCTCTTCAGTGCTTTACGAAGCCGTCTACTTGTTCCCTGGCTTTCAGTACTTCCACTCGTGCCATTTGTACTCTCCATGGTTAAGTATAACCAAAACAGTAACCACAGAAACCACAACAATTCTTATAAAAACACACAATATGCGATCGCTCAACGAAACACGTTCCAATGCGTTGCCGACGCCTATGAGTCTGCCGGTCGAGGCGCGTCTTTGATTTCATTGGTTCTACCGGCGGAGAACAATCAGCCATTATTTCCATCTCTGTCTGTGCTGTTGACCACCGCAAAGCCACAGAAACGACATATGTCGTATGCTATACGGCTGTACTGGAAGGAAGCTCTGATCACGTGTTGATCACGCGTATGAGTCATTACAGTTTTAAATAGTTGTAGTATAGCTATGTTAGAGAAAATTGCTTATGAAAACACGGTACTTTCGTTTTTGCACTTTCATTTCTTTACCATCTGTACTTTGTGATGCCCCCCTCAAAAAAACTACAGTGTTGTCTAATTGTTATCTTTGTCAGTCAACTCTATGAATAAAAATAGCGCTTGAAAATGCGTTTCTTTTTCTTTATTGACTTTCACTACTCTACCATTTTGAACTTGACAGCTGGCACACCGCAAATTTATATTATCGTTTAACAGTGTTTATCGATGAAAACATATTTTTTATATTAGATTAGGGCTTTTATTCAGTTTTCAGTTTGTTCAGTGAGTTTTTTGAGAAGTATTTGTTCAAAAATAATTAACAAGGCTGGAAGTTAGTTCACGCCTTAAATTGAAATTGTGTTTCTTCAAAATGCCACCAATTAGACGTACCAAAATAGGTCGGAGATGGTGCGAGTCAAAGATATTTACGAAGAAGCCAAACTGACGAGCAACGAGATCGAAGGACTGAAATTCAACAAAGTAGATGTGTCGCATTTAATCCCAATTGCGCTGCATTCAATTATGACGTGGCAATCGATTACAGTTCACAACAAATCGTTGCTTTTGGGCCAATGAACGTTGTATGTTCACACTGCACGGCTTTCAAGTTCAAAAATGAATCCCCTGGATTATGTTGCGCCAGTGGAAAAGTCAAATTGACTCCATCGGTACCATTCTGGCTCCGCCTAAAATATCCGCCGGGTGGTACCACGCGTATGACAGTCTACCACCTACGATCCAGCAATACAATAATTGCTTTCAAATGACGCACAAAGTCATTCGACATAATTTTAATCCTACTTTCAAGGTAAGTTGATGAAGGAATGGCAGTGCTGCCAAAGTATTTTGCTAGCCACATGGCGGAACTATAACATATATTTACCCTTTCATTATTCATCCCAGTTCATAGTAATTTATGAATTTTGACATATTTTTCAAGCGATACAGGTATCTATCAAAAGTCAGGCGCTGTACTGTCGTTAGATGCTCACAATAACAGCAACAGTGTGATTCGAAAAAAACATCACTGATATTATCGTTTTAGGGTATCCTATCGCGGGCGGCAATATCGTCACGTATTTTGCCGACGTATAAACGCAGCACACGTACACCGTTTTCTACCTGTTTTCTTGTCAGCTGCGGCGCGGATAATGGAAAGAAGGCGAGTTGTGAACTGTTGAAAATTCACGAATTACGAAAGATGCATCACCACGCAATGGATAGTCTACCCCATAAACGGCATAACTTATGTCCTGGACAATATAAATATAGAGAAAAATGTTTATGACGCACTCCGAAAACGATTTCCAGAGCAACCAGTAGAGATATCGTTCAACTTTGTAGCAATATGAGAAAGGTATCAGTATCTACCATTCTTAGAATTATAAAGGAAAAAACGTAATGGTGGTATCAAAAAAGCAAAAACAGGGACGTAAACGTATGGTTTTAAATGATAAATACGCAATCCGTCGGAAGGTGCACTCGTTTTATTTGAGAAGAGAAATACCGACAATGAAAAAACTACAGCATGGTTTGAATACAGACGAATTAAACCGAATCGAGTTGATATGGGGTCATGATGGACTGAGCCTAAGTATATTGGAAATATTCATACCATATTGTCTCAATGCTATTACGCATATCATCAATTTTTCTTTGGAGACTGGCACTTTTCCAGAATTGTGGAAATTAGCAACTGTAATACCTTTGTCAAAGACTGATAATCCGCTGGAACTTAGTGATTATAGATCTATCAGTCTATTGCCTATATTGTCTAAGTTATTAGAAAGAATTGTATTTGGGCAGATGTCTATTCATATAAAAAAACATAACTTGATACCTTCCACACAATCAGGCTTCAAACCTGGACATAGTACTGTAACTGCACTGATTGATGTCAGTGACAACTACTTAAGAGCCATAGACGATGGTAAGCTTACAATATGCGTGATGCTAGACGTGTCTAAAGCTTTTGACTGCATAGATCATAGATTTCTTTTGGCAAACCTGTCTTTTTTTGGATTTTCTGCGTCACCTCTTGCCTGGTTCTCTAGTTATCTATCTGGTAGATCACAAATGGTGAAACTTGGAGCAAAAATATCTTCGAAATGCAATGTTATGCAAGGTATTCCGCAGGGTTCGATCCTGGGGCCAATTTTATTTAATCTTTCAACGAGTCTATTTCTTATTGTAAAGTACACTCCTATGCAGATGACACCCAGATCTACCTTTCATATAATCCTGATTTTTTACAAGCCAATACCAAACTGTCAAGAGACCTACAGGCTGCAAATCAATATTTCTCTAGCCAGGGATTACTTATAAATCCAAGAAAATCCACCCTCATTACCTTTAAATCCAAGCTAATCAATTTTGACAGTGAAGTTGTCAATTTATCTATCGGAGGTGAGCCACTCCATCATAAACTGCAGGTAAAAAATTTAGGTGTGCTTTTTGACTCATCCTCAACATTCCATGACCATGTCACAAAAATAGTACAAAGCTCATATAGTGCCTTGAAAAGCATAATAGTTTCAGACATATAACCATGGATTACTTACAAATCCAAGAAAATCCACCCTCATTACCTTTAAATCCAAGCTAAGCAATTTTGACAGTGAAGTTGTCAATTTATCTAGTAGGAAGTATATAACCATATTGTATTCCATGGTTAACTATGAGAAAAAGGTGGATGGTACATCTGTGCTGTTTGGTGCATTGCGTTCTTAAAGGATAAATTATCTATGCGTAATCAATATCATAATGCCAATCTTAGATTTGTCAATCATACACTGGATATTCCTGCTCACAATACATCTCAATACAAGTCAAACATTGAGTTGACTTCAACCGGCGTAGCACAGGGTAGTATACTTGGGCTCATTTTGTTTGTAGTTTTTTTAAACGATCTCTGTTTTGTTACTAGTGGTGATCATAACAAGGATAAAATTATCTGCTATGCTGATGACACAAATTTAGTGTTGGGTGGGACAAGTGTAGAGGACCTAACTGCTAATGGGAATCTCTTATTCAGAAGTGTGAATACATGGTTTTCTGAGAACAAACTAGTGCTGAATAAATCCAAAACTGATGCAACATTATTTAGAACTAAGCAGAGTAAAGTCGTTAAGCCACAATACATCGATATTGATGAATTTTTAGATTGGACAACACATGTATTCGATCTGCTGAAGAGGCTCAATTCCATTTGCTATGATTTTAGGGTGATATCAAGATATCTAAATAATACGAGTATGAAAATATTGTACCATGCTAATTTTGAAAGTGTTCTGAAGTATGGGATTATTTTTTCTGTTTAAAATTTTTTAACAATCTACCAAATGAAATTAAAAACATAAACAGTTTACATAAATTTAAAAAGACTATGAAGTAATTTCTAGTACAGTCAGAGCCTTATACAATAAATGAGTTCTATGAGAGTTGTAATAGTATAAGATAGTAGCTGTTTTAAGATAAATAACCATGTAACACAAAAAGGTCTCAGGTAAACTACTATAGTTATGGTGACAGTGACGCAACATTTCATTTTGTAGTGGCTTTACAATTTTTGTAATGTCATTGTACAATTTGGAATATAGATTATTATTATTATTATTATATAATTTTAAAAAATCGTTTTCTTATATAGGAGCTGCATTGTATAATAAAATATCGCTTTCAGTCAGGCAGCTACTTAGTACACTTAGTAGATTTAAAGGACAAATCAAGGAGCTCATATTTAGAGATCTATATAACTGTAAACAGACTTGTTTTTTTCACACTCTTATAAATTATTAAATTTTATTGTAAAGGTGCTTGTAAGCAATTGGTGCCCTGGTTAGGGAGTAAGAACAGCTGCTAGCTGAATACTCGCCAGGAAAATAAAAGGCATTTTATTATTTTTATTATTAAATAAAAAATAAGGTAGTGCGTAAAAATACTACTATGAAGGTGGCATATGTTCGTATTCTTTTCGAAGAGGCCATTGAGGGTGTAACTGGTGACACCCGGCAGAATTGCATAAGGCATGTAGTCAAAGAAGAGGAAAAGTTTTGGCAATTGAACCATTCCGGATAATCCGACCAGTGGTAATTAACTTAAATGACGACAATGATAGTGACAGCAACAGTTCACAGTGACAGTTCCTGCTCGAATAATGGTGTGGCATAAAACCGCATCGCAGGGACTACCATTTGTTGAATATTTAATTATTTATATTTGCACCTATTTACGACTATTCATAGTCGTTTTATATTTGTTTTTTGAATAATCAGAATTTAGAGTTCGATTTTTGTGCGTCTTTCAGTTTCAGAACTTTTTATTTTTGAGGTTTGTATTTTCAAGTTTTAGAGATAACGATATTTATTTTTCCTTTTGTTGAAACTGAGAAACGGGTCGAGGAAGGGATGGGATTCGATACGCAGCAACCCCCCGTGGTGAGTCCTGGGTAGCCCGAACATGAGCTAGCTGAGAGCTGCATCAATGTTCTGACAAATTAATCCATTTTTTCTTGTGTTAATCAGTTACAGATCGCTGCTCTAGCTATTCCTATTTAATGATGACAAGTGTTGCAAAATGTTGAGGAAAATTCTACTTTTTAACCATTTCCGAAGTGGAAATCGTCGCGCCAAAAGTCCGCAGATTCCTCGCACTCCATTGCTGTCAGCAGTTGTGGTAATAAGCTCTAGTTGCACATTACCTTTTTATAAAAGATATATACTCTATAGTAGCAACACTGACCCGTTTGTTTTTCTTATTGCCAAATCTACAATAAGAATCAAAAATATCTTAGCATTCAATGTATTTCATAATTGTGAGCAGTCGATTTAGTAGTTTAAAGGTAAAATTGTCTACACTATTACTTCATACTTACTATTTTACAACAAATCTGTGATTTAAGCCCTAATTCTAGTGTAATATTTGTATAGTTCCAAAATAATGCTATCACTCTTTTCATATTTCCATTTCGAAGTATCACTATTTACATCAGAGCTGATATGTAAACAGAAAGTGTACAAAATTAGATACTGCAGTCTGATTTGGCACTAATATTATAAATTAAACTGATATATCTAGGTTGTGCTTCTCAATGTATCTTCTTCTTGCATTTGCGATCAACTGCATTTTCCTCTCTTGGAACGATTTAGCCCTTTCTGAAGCCGATTTAGGAAAAGATGTCACTGCAGTATTGGATGACAATAATTGACTGCCTACTGGAGATGTAGGGTGCTCCTTGAAAGCTGATGTTGATGGCGTGCTGCTATCACTAGAAGTACTAGGTGATTCTGGTGTGAATTGCACCCTACCTTCCAGTATGTTTGTGATTGTATTATCGACGCTTTCAGTATGACCTGCAATTGACAAAAATGATGGGTATGAGTAGAATAATATTATTATTATAATTTTAGACAAAAAGCCGTCAAACAAATAGATCCCATTACTTTCAAAAATCGATTGCAAGTGATATAGGGATACAATTTTTCAGCAGACTGAATAAAATTTACATAACTTTCATTTTTGGAGTAATCTGTAATACTAGCAGCTACCAAAACGAAACTGAAACAAATGAGCCTTTCTTCGGTGGCGCAAGTTTACTCCAAATCCTAATTAAATCGAAATCTGACGACACTAACAGAACGTATTTACTGGTATCATAGAAGCAACATCCCTAATCCTTTTTCTGGAAGGGAGAATTTACAATGAAATGAAATATGAGACTTGTAGGTTTGGAACCCGTAACCGACACCAGACACCGTAAAAAGTGCAAACGTATTACCATCTGTATCATGTCGCCTACGGCCCGTCACCTATCGCCTGCCTCATCGGATTATAATATATGTTATAAAGATGGCCTAATTGCCAGGCTTCGCCTTACTACTACTACCACTCTTTTACATCGAAACAGCCGCACAGGTAGAAGCCTAAATGCCAGAGCACCGCGACGGGTACGAGGTGCTTGAAGAAATTAATAATAAAGGACGAGGGCTGCATCTCAGCCACGGCCTAACCTAGAGCCATACGTTAAAAAATTCCATAAAAAAAGTGGCCAAGAGAAATTGCTGCAAATTATTTTCCGCATCCTAAAATGGCCGCGAAAGGGCGTATTTTCAATTTTGAAAAATTCAAACTCCATTTTGCAAAGATTCATAATTAACGTACTTTTTTCTCAATGTCATTTTTACATTTTGTTTCGATCAAGGTGGGGGTTGGGTTGAATCTTATTTCAAAAAAAGTAATATAACATGTTTGGCTGCACCGATTTTCACTATCTTGGTTTTATTCGAAAGAGCTTGCGCCTGCGCTCCTACTCAAGGCTCAATCTTGTCAAATTAGGTCACTTTGTTGCCACTAGATAGCGTTTTATGGATATGTTACTGTTTTTTTGAATTACTTCGAAAACTTCAAAAACAATGGTCTAATTCATCAATACTGCTTGGAAAGGGCATTAAAATCGTATAAAATGGCGAAAACCGCAGATCATTATTTTTATTGGTTACGGAAATATAATGAAAAATATACTGAAATTACAATTTTCAAGTATGTATTACTGGATAAAAAGAAAAATACAAGTTATGATTAGTAATGTAAAATGTATCAATATGATACGATTTCAAGATATTTACTTAGAAATTCATTTTTACGCTTTTTATAACCGATGGGGGTTGTTGTAAGCGTCTCCTGATATATGAAAACAGACATACTTCAATTAAAACTCTGTCAACTGAGCTGAAATATGAATAATTCAGGAAATACCGAGTTTTTACTGCTTCTGGTAGTTACATCTTGTAAGAGTGCAAATTGTGAATTATTTTATATCCATTGTTACAACGTGTCCCAGAAATCGATGTTAAGCCGGAAACGGTTGATAGGCCTAGTCATAATAGTTACCAGAAAAATATAAAAAAGTGGTATACTTTTCAAATTACAGGCTTTAAAAAAAATCAACAAAAGCGGAAAATCTACACCCTGTGATGATATTTAAGTTTCCATTACTACAAATTTCAATTTTTTAAATGAAAAATTTGGACGTAACTTGAACGAAAATATATCATTTTTTAAGTACCCCTCTACTTGCTATTTTATAGAACTTCAAAGTCGTATTTTGGGTGGTAATACTGTGGTGTGGTATAGAATACTGTTTTATAAGCTATTGTTTTTCTTTTTTACACAAAATAAAGCTCTACATTATATGAATATAACATCCACTGTATATTACTGTGACAATATTCATCGCAGTAATGCAATTTTGCATCATTTTAATGACGAAAATAGATTATTCTAAGTCGTAATTTCTTTTATTTTAGATGAACATTCCCATCTCTACACCACCATCACTATCATAATTTCTCCATCTAGTTGCAATGTTGCCAAATCATGGATATTTGTGGGCGGTTAATGTACTAAAACAAATGTCGCGCGCGAATTATAATTTGATTTGGTTTGTCAAATTCTTTCACGGTGTAGAGTTTCTTTACGATATTCAGATATACTTACCTTTGTGACCTATATTTTATAATAGGCTGACGAGCGGGCCAAAGTACCAGGGTTACTTCCTGCTGGCAAAAATGTGCAATCGGCACAGAATTGCCATGAAAATGCGATTTGGAGGTGTGGCCGGCAGGTTTTACTGTACTAAATTTACGTCCTGCCCTACGATAGCGTTAGCCAAAGGCTCTTTTTGAAGAATGCCGTATGCCTCAAAAAAATACTTCGGTTATTTTTTATTATAGTATAATTCACTTATTTTTTGTATGTCTGTACTTGAAGAATTATTCAGAGTGAATCTGATGTCGTAAAATATGGTTAATAAAATGTAATATAAGTATAATATACACAGTGAAAGAATTTGACAAGCAAATCAAATTCTAATTCGGGGGCTACATTTGTTTTACTATATTAGCCGACCCAACTATCATTATTTGGCAACACTGCAACAACACAACTACTGTAGATGGATAAATTATGATAAATATGACGGTGTAGAGATGGGGATGTTTATCTGAAATGAAAGAAATAACTACTTAACAATAATCTATTTTCATCATTAAAATAATTCAAAATTGCATTATTGCGATGAATATTGCCACAGTAATATTCATATAATTTACCACACTATTACCACCAAAAATGCAACTTTGAAGTTCTATAAAATAACAAGTAGAGGCTTCCTTGAAAAAATGATATTTTCAGTAAATGAAATATTTGAGATTTGCGCTAAAGTGGTTCTCAGACCTTGGGGTCTTCTTCGACTGATTGTGGTCCTCGTAAGGAAAGGAAATTCTTCCCTCACCATGTGCTTGATTTGAGAATGGTCCCTCTGAGAGTAAACGGTGCACATTCACAAAAACTCGGTGATCGGGATGACGAGCAGCATTTGGGTAAGTCTCACGATAAAGTCTAGCTGCAGCACTAGCATTGCATATACATTCCCCATAAATAAAAACATATTTTTTCACTTGATCCGGAGATCAAAATCTATGTTGCGGATCAACTATGACCAATTAGAAAGCGTTTTAGTAAAACTGCATGGATAATTGGCCAATCGGAGAGGAGCCTCTAGTCCCTGTCCGAATCGACGATCAAATCTGATATAACGCCTAGGTACGACATTAATTACTGAGCACTTTATTGAAAAGAACAGTGTAATACTTACCTGAGAGACATAATTTTAGAAAAAGGGATTCATTTCTAAAAATACATCAACTGTAACGGGATGGTGACGAAAATTTAAGAGTGGAAGAGAGGAGACGAATGATACTGACCAGGTGCATTGAGTACTGCATAAACAGATAGGGATGTGGCATGTATGGAAGGCATGCTTAGAGAAAATAATCGAATTTTAATCAGAGCAATTCCAGAAAATGTCGGTGTGAGTATAGGATCTGTCCATAGTATCATACACAAAGTTTGTGCGCAATGGGTTCCTCGCCTTTTGTCAGAGGCCCAAAAAATCTTGCGAATGGGCTTATCTTTGCAACATCTTACGAAATACACGCAAAACGGTAATGACTTTCTTTCGTCAATAATTGCTGGCGACGAATCTTGGTGTCATATTATTTTGAACCATCCAGCAAGCTGTCATCGATACAATGTAAACTCGCAAATTCTCCGCCACCAAAGAAATTGAACCTTCTGCAGGCAAGGTCATGCCACTCGACGGGGCCTTGTCTGCCGATCCACTGATTCGGGAAATGAGTGTTGAAAAACTGTCTTAGTGAAGCCGCATAGTGCGACGGTGCACCATCTTGTTGGAAATGAATGTAATTTTCATTATAATTTATATCATTTTCTATTATTTTGGTAATTCCAAGTACGTCAAGTTTCCAGGAATAAAAAAAGCCCTACAATATGATTTCCCACACATTTATTTTTTCAGGATATTGCGAGTGTATCTCTCGAAACAAATGTGGATTCGAGTCACTCCAATATCGACAATTATGTCTATTTAAAGCACAATGTAACTAGGACGTATACTCATCCGAGAAACAAATATTAAATAACAGATTCGCTTTGTTGATTAAGCGTTGGGAGATTAATTCGCAAAACTCTAACCTTCTATCAAAATCGTATTCATTCATCTCATGGGCAAGTTTTATCTTGTACGAGTGAAATTTACTGTCTTTCAAAAGTCTTTGTACTGTTGAGCGTGTAAATCCTGAAGAAGTAGTCAGTCCACGAGTGCTTTGGTTGTTGTCAAATGCTACATGTCCCAAAACTGCTATTTCTGAGGCTTCATCTCTAACTGGTCGATTCGCCCGATGGCGATTACGGCGAATATTAGACAAAGATCAAATTCTCTTATCAACTTGGCCACATACTTACCGTTAGTATTTTTCTCTGGATATTAACGCATTAAACAACTGGTCAATAGCTTTTGCAATGCTCCCATTTTGGTAATACAGTTTTGTTATTTCTACCTTTTCTTGAACTGAGTAAGTCATTGTTCAATATTTATCACAACTAGGTAGGTAACTTAAGAATTTGAAATGAAAGACAAAGTTATGACATCCGATGACACTGACTGTTGCTAAATGTCCTTTCTGGTATTAATGATTATTATTTTTTACCGTGTATTCCAATTTTATCAGTATTTAGTCAGGTTAGTAGAATTTTATTATAAACTCAAATAGCCTCAAAACGACTGAAGATAGGTATAAACTTTATTATACAAAAGTTACTAAAAACGTCATTGAAAGTCTAAAAATTAAAAAAAATGGGGTTTCCATTTAAACATCTAAAGTGTAACGCAATATCTTATTTTTGGATCACCCTGAATTATACGGCTAAAGATGAAAAGACGACCTTTAGAAATCAAAATTGACGTTTCCGATCGTTTTTCTCAAAATATACCAGGAGAGTCACAAATGGGGATGCGACCTTTTCGTTCTGCCACCCTGTATGAACCACTGTTGGACACACATATTCTGTGTGTGCGCGATATTTATGTTTATGCATTATGTTTGGTTGTCATTTTGAGAGTTGGTATGCATATTTAATTTTATCATTTACCTGTAGATGCGATAAATGCATCGCCTTATGTTAACAGAAGTTATATGTGACACTGAATTACTATGTAATAAAATTGAGTCGACTTTGTAAAAACTACGAAGCACGCCATAAGCAAATTTTGTCTGCTATTGTTGCCTGTTAGGATGGGAGGCCAAAGTCAGGCGGGTCTGTCTGGCAGGCACATCGCGCGGCGGCATCATGGAAGATAGCTCTGAGGAGCAAAGCCCGTTGATGTAGCGGTAGACGAGAGCTAGATCGCCAACGGCCCGCCGGTGCGAAAGGGTCCCAAGACTGTCTGTTAGAGAAGAGTCGTCAATCAGTCGGACAGCCCTCCTCTGGGTAGCATCGAGCATAAATAATGTAGTGGGGGCGGCAGCACCCCAAGCGTGTGAGCAATACTCGAGGCTAGGCCTTATCTGAGCCTTGTATAGAGTGAGAAGGTCATGCGGAGAAAAGTACAAATAGCCTAGCTTTTTCCCAGTAGCTGCCGCTACTGACGAGACGTGTTCGTGCCAGATCAAGTCCTCGGTGATCTGGCACGAACCGATGACACCGGATGAGCGCTGCCGCTTCGACTACATTATCCATGCTCGATGCTGTTCAGAAGAGGGCTGTCCGGCTGATCGATGTCTCTTATCTAACGGACAGTCTTGGGACCCTTTCGTACATGCAGAACAGGCCGATACGACCGCTCCTTTGTACCTACGGTATCAAGACTATGGAACAACCTACAAGAGACGTTTTCCTGTTTCAGTAACCTTAGGCAGTAAAAAAATCGGATTAACAAAATTTCTTTGAGATCCTCATAGCTGCTTCCGTATGAAAAAGGGCCTTTGCTTTTGTGTCAAAGGGCATCTATAGACAAAAGAGAAGTAGCAGAGAAAAAACAATGCAAAGAAAGGGGAGCGAACATTAAGAAATACAACTGTTAGAATAGGGGTCTATGTATTTTTGAAATTACTCTAATAATTTTGAATTCAGAAAAAGAATTTAGTTAGACATTGTTGAAATATCTTTTTAAATTATCTGAAACTATGCGTTTCAATTTTGCTCACACTGCGACCTGCAGTCTAGGTCGATTATGTTCTCATGCAATAAATAATGACAGAAATTTTAATAATGATGTGAATTTTACGGTTGATAGAATTTTCCGAACTTTAGTTTTGAAGCTTTCAAAATCACGTCGGAATGGAGGAATACATCCCTCACACAGTGAAAGCTCCTAAACCAGGGTCCAACGGCTGGTTCAACAAATCGTGTGACACTGCTCGCCAGCAGAAGATCAAGGCCCACAGAACCTACTTACAAAACCCCACTGTAGAGAACAGACAAGCCGACGTCGAGTCCAGAAACAAATATAACGAAGCGGTTCGCAATGCCAAAACCCAGCATGATATAAAAGTTAGGCACAGGGTAATGTCGCAGCGCAATGGCAGTCGGTCTTTCTGGACGCTGGCCAAGCAGATTGAAAAGAACTTCTCACACAGTAGCCTTCCACCACTTACGTGCCAGGATGGAACTATTGTATTCGACTCAAAGGCCAAGGCGGAAGTGCTAGCCAAGATCTTTGCTGCCAACTCCACCATGGACGTCCCCACCAACGCCCAAGTGCCGTCAATTCAAAGGGTTCCCCACACTATGCGGGAGGTAACATTCAGGCATAAGACCGTAAGACGAGTGCTCTTGTCGCTCGACATCAACAAAGCTTCTGGTCCGGACTTGATTCCTGCCATTGTACTGAAGAGATGTGCAGCTGAGCTTGCTCCAGTTCTTTCGCGTCTCTTCCAGATATCTTATGAATCCGGCACCTTCCCAGAAAACTGGAAATTTGCTCATGTACAGCCCATCCCAAAAAAAGGATCTAAAACCGACCCTTACAACTACAGGCCTATAGCTCTGCTTTCTGTTATAAGTAAAGTAATGGAGAGGTGTATAAATCGCGAGCTTCTGGACTACCTCGAACGTCACAGGTTGATTAGCGACAGGCAGTACGGTTTCCGGCACCAACGATCCACAGGGGACCTCCTAGCTTACGTCACGCAACTGTGGAGTAAACTCATCCAGTCTCATGGTGAGGCTCATGTCGTTGCTCTTGACATCACGAAAGCGTTCGATCAGCTGTGGCACGCTGCCCTCTTGAGCAAACTTCCATCCTACGGCCTCCCAGAAAAGCTTTGCAGATGGGTGGCTGACTTTATCTCTGGCCGCAAGATATCCGTCGTAATTGACGGATTCTCCTCTTCATCCCACAACGTCAACGCGGGTGTTCCCCAGGGATCGGTTTTGGCTCCAACACTGTTTCTCTTACATATCAACGACCTCCTTTCCTGCACGATCAACCCAATCCACAGCTTCGCTGATGACAGCACTCTACATGCAGGAATTCAGAGTGACAAGCCGATCTCTGCCGCTGAGCTGGAAAAAAGAAGACTAGCGACGACTTCTTCCCTGACAAGAGACCTGGAGGCTATCACTGCTTGGGGACGCAACAATCTTGTACAGTTCAATGCTTCCAAAACACAGTACTGTACTTTGACGAACAAAAAGCGAATTAGCGCTCATACAGTTTCGATGGACGGTCGAGTTCTACCAAAGAGCCATTCATTTCGGTTGGTCGGAGTCCAGATCACCGAGGACCTGATCTGGCACGAACACATCTCTTCAATAGCTGCAGCTGCTGGGAAAAAGCTAGGCTATTTGTTTAGGGCTAAGAAGTACTTTTCTCCGCATGACCTTCTCACTCTATACAAGGCCCAGATAAGGCCTAGCCTCGAGTATTGCTCACACATTTGGGGTGCTGCCGCCCCGACTACATTGTCCATGCTCGATGCTGTCCAGAGGAGGGCGGTCCGACTGATCGATGACTCTTCTCTAACAGACAGTCTCGGGACTCTTTCGCACCGGCGGGCCGTCGGCGATCTAGCTCTTTTCTATCGCTACACCAACGGGCTTTGCTCCTCAGAGCTCTCTTCCATGATGCCGCCGCGCGATGTGCCTGCCAGACAGACCCGCCTGACTTCGGCGTCCCATCCTAACCGTGTCAAACTTCGTACATCCAGAACTGGCCGATACGACTGCTCCTTTATCCCGAGGGTATCTAGATTGTGGAACAAACTACGGGAGGAAGCTTTTCCCAGTTCTACTAACCTTAGGCAGTTCAAAAATCGTGTTAACAAAATTTCTTTGGGATCATCATAGCAGCCGCGGTGTTCCGGCATTTAGGCTTCTGCCTGCGCGGCTGTTTCGATATAAAAAAAAAAAAAAAAAAAAAAAAAAAAAAAAAAATCAACTGAAACTTACTTTGTTGAAAGTCTTCCATTAAGTGATCGATTCGTGCAACAAATGTATCGGGTGAACATTTATAAATGACTCTGGTTGTGCCTTGATAACAACTTAGAATTGTCAGGTACTCATTTTTATAACAAAAGTGGCCAAGAAGAAGACCGACTGCCGTTGCACTGCGACATTACTCTATGCCTAATTTTGACATCGTGCTGGTCTTTGGCATTGTGGACCGCTTCGTTGTATTTGTGTCTGGATTCCACGTTGGCTTTTATGGTCTCTAACAGTGGGGTTTTGTAAGAAGGTTCTGTGTGCCTTGATCTTCTGATAACGAGCAGTGACGCACGATTTGTTGAACCAGCTGTTGGACCCTGTTTTAGACACTTTCACTATCTGATTCCAACGTGGATAATTTCGGATCTTGATGTACAGACAGTTGACGCATAAAGATGAGCGATACAAACATCTCTCCAAGGAAAGGTGGAGAAACAGTCTCCGAGTCATTCCCAGTCGGTATGTCCGTAATACCAAATATTGCGGCCTGGGCGAGTTTCTGCTGCCACAAGCCAGAAACCCGAACCCCACAGCAACATGGTCTGAGTTACCCAGGAGAGACAGGATAGCGGTGCTGTAAGCAACAGGATGCGTGGTCTGAAAGAGATACAGCAGACTACACTGGCGTGGGAAAAAGTAGGAATCGTCACTAGCTGAGTCAGTCCTTGCACGACTACTACTACTACTACTACTACTATTACTATATTACTACCATCCAACTACAAAAGGATTTCAATATTTAAAATATGAAACTTGCAAGGACAAGTTTCTATTATCTCACACTAAACTGACATGACATAGCATTTAATGCCAAAAAATCTCCTTTTGTTTTTCAGAGGTTGTGAAATCACTGTACAATTATTTTACTTACATAGATCGTTATAAATGGCATTAAATGGTACATGTGGCAAAACTTCTCGTATCTGCATAGTCATCCTCTGCAATCTAGGGTTCATCGTTCGTGCTGGCCTCCTAGCTGCAGTACTAGTACTCCTTCTAAGGTGTGTGCTGTTTCGCATTTCAGCTAACGCTCTTTTTTCCCATTCAATCACATCGCTTGTCGTATAGTTTACTAAGTCGGCCTAAAACACATTTTCACTGATTTAGCAGGTGTAATTCAAATTCTCAGGATTTTAAACTATTTTAGTTTGATAATCATACATTCCAAAAAGAGAATATGCAAATCGAAATCAGCAAGTTATTTTTCTAGTTGTGTAGATGAATGAGTCGCGATTGATTGTTATCTATTCATATTAAAAAAATCCCAGAAATAATTGTAATGTGAGGTTTTATGTACAGGGTGGCCAATATATAACTGACTGATTTAAGTAGCGCCATTTTTTATACACGCATTTCAATAGGTGGCGCCGTAGTAGCTGTTTAATACACGTGTCCAATTCATCATGGAGCGCTACACGATCCCACAACGCGTCCGTATTGTTAAAACGTTTTACTTAAATAATAAGTCGATTGTTGCAACGATCCGCAAGCTACGATAAGATTTCGGTCTAAATAATGTGTCCAGTGTCAACACCATTCGTCAGGTGATGCGGAAATTTGAACAAATAGGTGAAATTAAAGACTTGTCAAGGTCGGGCAGTATTCGAACAGTTCATACTCCGGAAAATATCGAGAGAGGTCGTGAAAGTGTAGTGGGGCGCCCTGAGACGTCTACTAGACATGGTTCTCAAGAACTGGGTATTCGTCGCACGTCATTATACACTATTTTAAAAAGAGACTTGCATTTGTGGCCATACGAAATTCAGTTAACCCAAGAACTACAGCCTAGTAGCCATGAAAGTCGCGGACAATAAAATCATGCAATATTGCAGCTTAATACTCAAAATAACTGTTTTTATCGACAACTGATAATGAGCAATGAAGCCCACTCCGATATGAACGGATTTGTTAATAAGCAAAATTGTCGTATCTGGGCATTGGAGAGCCCTCGTGTCATCCATCAACGACCACTACATGTGTTTTGTATGGAGGTGTCATTGGACCTTACTTTTTTGAAGACGCTTTAGGTAATTCTCTTACTGTCACTGGCGAGCGCTACCGTGATATGGTGCAAAACTTTCGGCTCCTCAAATCCAACAATTTAACCTGCAAAACATGTGGTTACAGCAAGACGGAGCAACTTGTCACACAGCTAGGGAAACAATGAATCTTTTACGAACAATATTTCCGGGACGTTTAATTTCTCGATTTGGTGATGTCAACTGGCCAGCAAGGTCACCGGATTTAACGGCTTCTGTCTTTTTTATGGGGATTGTTGAAAAATAGGGTTTATGCCAACAAACTAAATACTGTAGAGCAGCTGAAGAACAATATTACGGAAGCGATTGAAAATATTCCTCCCGAAACCTACAAAGTGATGGAAAATGTAATCAAGAGGGCTCAGAGGCGGACATTTGTCTGATATTATTTTTCATACATAATTTCTAAGTTTCAATAAAAGATTAAGATGAAAAAAATGGACGTATTTTATTTCATTTCACAAATATTCAAGATACAAACCAGTCAGTTACATATCGGCGACCCTGTATTATAGTGTTTGCATGAACAAAAATACTGCACATAAAAGATATGACAAAAAAGAAAGTTTTTGCCAAAAAATTCGCCAAGATGCAGGTTTAGGTACTTGTTTGTCATACGACGATACTGTCAGGCAAATACTTGAAATTTCTCAAATATGTAGATCTCATACTTCGAAATGTCTGATTCCGTTTTTCCAGCCAACATTATCAGGTTATGAAATTATATACAAGGTTCGTGCAATGCGCATTTTATAGCAATATAATCGAATTTACCTCAGCAATAAAGAACAAATTATTTCGCAAGCTAAGAATTGTAACTGGAAAAACAGAATGTTACGCCTTTTCTTTTAACCCTGCCACGATAGTTACGAGTACTAGTTGTCCACGATTTAGGATTTTTATCAACAATGAAATGATAGCCAACAATAACTCAGCTGGTGGGAACAGCACTAGAACATACAGCTTATGGAAACGTTCAAGTTGCGATGTGACAACTTGTATTAAGCACAACAAATGTTATTTGGCCGAACTCCAACAAATAATATTATGTAAGTATAAGCTGCTCACACATTTGGGGCTAAACAATGCGATCATAACTCATTTTTATCTCAGTCTCATATAAGTATAGTTCAAAAGATCCGCCATTTTCGCCATATATCATAAATGCTCGCTACCTTTCTGGAAAGAGCATACTCTTCACCATAGACAGTCGTACATATACAGAAGTAGTGTTAGGGAGTGTAAATGGCAAGCCCGGCTTAGGTTGTGCGATTTGGCAAATCGGGGAATAGGACGTCAAGGACCAGCCATAACGCATATTACGAGGGATGTCTTTTAAGTTTTGCATATGGAAATAAAACAACACGGTAGGTAGTTTTAAAGGACTTCATTGTTTTTGGAAGTATTCTCCACGAATATTAATACACATCTGCATGCGCTCGAACCAATTTTCGAAGCACTTATTCCACTCGTTTGCTGGCAGATCCAAAACGGCATTTTTGAATGCGTCAACTGCTTCTTCTGGTGACTGGAACCTTTGACCACGCAGTTTGTTTTTAATTTTCGGGAAAGTAAAGAGATCGTTAGGACTATAAGGAGGATGGTCCAATAATTCCACGTTTTCTTCTTAAATACTGCCTTGTTTTTTGGGCTGTGTGCGAGCTTGCATTGTCTTTGTGGAGGATGATTCTTCTTTCGGGGTTGACTTTTCGCAGCTCGGTGATGACTTTTGGCAAACAAATGGTGGTATACTAATCTGCAGTAACAGTTCTTTGCTCATTAAGAGGAATTGTTGCAATGACCCGCTTTTGACACAAAGTCGCGACCATCTTTTGCGAAACACTTCGAGAACGGATGGCTTTTGTTGGCTTTTCTTCACCTTGTAACACTCAAACAGCCGACTGTCGTTTATTTTCTGGTTCGCAACAGTAAATCCACGATTCATCACCACTAACAATGCTGTACACATTGTTTGAGTTTCCGGAATTGAAACGGTCAAGCGTTTTTTGACACCAATTAACCCTGGCTGCTTTCTGCTCGTCAGTCAACAGGTGGGGTATCCAACGAGAAACTAATTTTCTTACTCCTAATTCTTCATGTAAAATTTTTTGAATTGAGGTCTTTGAGATCTTCAAGGACGCCTCAATCTCGCGATATGTCACATGTCTATCTTCAATGATGAGTTTGCGCACAGCATCGACGTTTTCCTGGGTGACTGCCGTTTTTGATGCACCCACCCTGGGATCGTCGCTAAGACTCACCCGTCCACGTTTGAATTCGCCATACCAACGGGAAATTGTCGACTGATGTGGCGCTTCGTTGCAGAAAACAGACTGTAACTCAGCAAGGCATTTTTGTTGCGATAATTGTCTCTGAAAGTTGTAATAAATTATGGCGCGAAAATGTTCTCGGTTGAGTTCCATGTTTCTAATGACTTGGTGACACTTAAAAATTCATTGTAGTGAGAACACTGCATTGTTGTGAAACTTTGAATTTAAGTTTACTAAAGAGTGAGGTTAAGATTCAGTACTGAAGTTCGATCCGCGCGGCCTACTATGTTTCTATATGCAAAACTTAAAAGACATCCCTCGTATTAATTATTACCTAATAGAAAATACTTTTCCAGTCTGTTGGAAAGTTGCAAAAGTTCATCCTCTGCCAGAGAAAGGCACTATATCTAGCTTGTCGGATCTTCATATCCGATTTCTATATGATCGGTGCTGTCTCAAGTTTTGGAAAAAATTCTAAAATTTCAGTTAATGCTTCATATAGATAATGATGATTTGCTGCCTTCATTTCAGTCAGGGTTTCGAAAGGGTTTTAGTTGCACGACTGCGCTTATAGATGTTACGGATGAAATTACAAGGGATATTGATAACGGCAATACAGCGGCTCTTGTATTGCTTGATTACACAAAAGCATTTGATACAATTAATCACCAGTTAATATTTTCTATTTTAAAATGCATGGGATGTTCCGTTAATGCTATTAAACTATTCAAAAGTTATTTCTCGAAGAGGACGCAGTTTGTCATAACCTCTTCAGTGGTGTGTTTTCAAGCCTGTTCTGTGTGGGGTACCTCAAGACTCTATCTTGGGTTCCTTATTTTTTCAGTATACTCTGCAAATATTACTAGTAGTTTGAGATATTCAAAGCTCATGCTGATGATACCCAGATAAAATTTTCGTTCTCTCATACAGATACAACTACTGCCGTTACATTATTAAATGAAGATCTTAGTAATTTGACAAACAAAACGATAGCACAAGGGTTAACTGTAAATCCAACGAAGTCAAATGTTTCATTGTACGGGAAACACAAAAATAGCGTCGCAGATTCATTCCATATTTCAATAATAAAGCATACATCCGCTACTAGGAATTTAGGCTTGATTATGGATAGTGACCTGAGGTTTTCAAAGCATGTTGATAAGTGCATTGACCGTGCTTATGGTCGGTTTAAAATGTTGTTTCCACATCGTCATATCTTTTCTACAGAACTTAAGGCTTTACTTTGTGACACGCTTAGTGTCTTGTGTTAGGTTTAATTTTGGAGTGAAAAAAAAATTGAACCTATTTCTTACAAGTTACCTGAAATAAGATGGCTAAATGTGGAAGCCACGAAAAATCTGCACTCTGCAGTTTTGTTTCATAAAATTATTCTATATATAACTCTCTCTATAACTAACTTTTTTATATAATAAGATTACATTTCGAAGTGATGTTCACAATATCAATGTTCGGTCCTGGAAGCTGACTTCCCAATCCTCGTACATCTATGTTTAATAGATCTTTTTCTCATTTTATCTGCCACTTGTACAATCACGTCCCCACAAACCTCAAGTCTGTCTTTGTCTGCTTTTGAAAGAAGTTACAGAAAATTTCTATTAGATGAATTGTAGTGTTTATATTATTCCCTTCTTTTTTATATTTTATATGTTTTTTTTGTTAAATCTGCCTAAAATGATTTGACCTTTTTAGTTAAATTATATTTTTAATATAATTTCTTTATATACATTTTTTTGACTCTTCTAATTATTATTTTTAATATTATATAATTTGGTTAGGAACTCCTCTCTTGTAATTTTGTTTGTTGGCCTAGTACTTTGATCAGCTTGTCTGTTTACTAGTCCCTTTTGCAGGGAATTGATGTTGTTTATTCACTTTTATTTTTTTTTCTATTTTTATTTTTTTACTCTGCAAATAAACACTATTATTATTATTAATCTCTTCATTAGGCAGGCATCATCAAACTTGTGTTGTCTACCTGTATGTCTTCTTAATTCTTCTCTTCTTCAAATTCATTTCATCTCCAATTAACTATCTTATATTCAAATCCGTTTTATTTCTCATTTTTACCCCAAACATCAGGCTGAACGGGTCGGTATTGATCAATCATTAGTGGGTCGCATTTATCATTCTATGAATGTGATCAACGTACTTATACCATTTACCTGGTTCACCAATACTCAATAAGAACGGAAATGATTATAGACTTGATTATTTCTGCCTGTCCATTCGAACGTTGTAATATGAGCAAGATTAATGTCGTTTTCGTTGCAATAGGTTTGAAATTCTAGAGCCGTAAAAGCAATTCCTCTGTTCATCACGATAGTCTTGAGGTTTCCAAAACGTCTTGTGTTGCAGTGGTAGTCTATCGATGACTTCCCTAGCAGTCTTTGACTTCGTAGGATACAACCACACTAACTTGGTAAAGGTGTCGTCTGTGACCAGCAAAATATGTTTGTGATTTTTGCTAGTGGATTCAAGAGGTCCGAGATGATCACTGTGGTTTATATCCAACGGCGTGTTCTTCGAGACAGCATGCAAAAAAACTTCTTGTCTACCTCTACCTTGATTGGCATTGGCAGATCGATTTTCTATCATACAGTCAAATTCTTCTACGAGTAAGAGCCATCTGGCAACTCCAATGCTAAGATCCTTTTTGTTCACGGTTTTCTCAAATGCTGACCAGCCTGACACTACTTTGTATTGTTGACCAAGATTATATACTCGTAGTTTCCTTGAAGCTTCTATAATCGCGAGCACTTCCAGCTCAT